CTGTGATTGGTCAAAAAATAAAAATAAAAAAGTTATAGATTTTTTAAAGAATAAAAAAATTAATTTTAAAAAACCTGCCCAAGCCACTGTTTTCCTCTGCCACGTGGCTCGACCAGCAAGCCCCCAACCCTACGCCGGCGCGTAACCGACCGACCCCCTCCCCTGAGCCACCAACCCCTCCCTCCCCCACGAAGTCCATGCAGCGGCGAGCATAAAACCACCATCGAAAACCCCTTTCCCATCCCGAACTACCGATCCCAACCCCGTCCGCGTCCATTTTTCGGGTGCTGCGACCTTCCCTGTCCTCTATTCCGACCGCGTTGTCCTCCCTGTACGTACCTCGATTCAGGTTGCGTCGATCTCTGATCCCCAACCTTTTTCCTAGGGTTTGGTGGTTTTCACTTTTTCAAAGGGTGTTTTGGGGTTGGGTTGGTTAGGGTATGATCTCGATTGGCGCGTCTGGGTTGCGGTGGTACGGTTTTGGGTCTGGATGGGGGTGGTGGTTTTGGGTTCTGGGTTTGAGTGGTTGTGGCCTGGTGGGGATGGTGGTGGGCGAAGGGCGATCTAATAAGATCTCATATTCTAATTTCTTTCTATTGCATATATCATAGTTTGTGGTCAAAGTTATTTTATTTTGACTACATAAATAGTAAGTGAGTTGATTTTTCAGGAACAGAGGTAATAACTTTTTTTTTAGGGAAGAGGAAGTATACAACTTCATTTCATTCGTGTAAAAATTATCAAAACTTGATAAGTTGATATTTAAAAAAAATACATTGTAATAAATTTAACAAGACCCACATAACTTTATTACCTCTTATTGATTCATTTTTTTAAAAAAGTAGGGAATTATTTTTACGGAGTTTATAAGATTTGTTTCTACAACACGATTTTTGTGTAGCTGGCCACACTTTGTGGTTGGGGTTACTTATTTATGGGTTACTCGATCGCTCAGGGATTACGTATTCAAGTGTTACTCGGTCAAGGCTTATTTGGTCTGGGCTTATCAAATCGGTCAGGAGTTATTTATTCAGTCAGGGCTACTCGAATGGTAAGGGGTTACTCCTATATAAGCAATTCTGGCCAGACGGTATAGCTAGCCACACATGAAAATTTGTGTTGTTTCTTTAATAGAAAAAAAATAAAAAAAAATTAAAAAACTACTTAAGGACACCTCAGGAGATGACATGTGTCATTTAGTATACATAAAAGAGTTATTTACGAAATTTTGTGTTGTTTCTTTGATAGAATTCTATAAACTAAAAAAAGAAACACCCTAAGGACACACTGATGCGGTTCCAAGGCATCAATATTGTTGTTATAATTATTTTTATTGTTATTTTTAATTTTATTAATAGGTGACCGAATTTATTAGGATAATTTTGTTAGTTTAATTCGGTTAGTAGAAGATAAGCTTAACTTTAAAGATCATATTTGCAAAATATTATCTTTGCAAGTTAGGGTTAGTTTCCTAGCTAGTTAGATTAGAATTTGTTTTACACGATTTTAGGCTAATTATTTAGCTTATAAATGTGTGATGGTGTTTAATGGAATTATGATTGATTGATTTGAAATTTATAAAGTTTTACGTAAGTTTGTGCTTGTGTATTCTTGGCCTAGTTTAGGTTTTAAGCTCGTGTTGCTTAGCGTTTCTTGACCGAGACTCAAGATTCCAAACCTTTCAACTGCGATTGAAGGTTATATCCATTAAAATCCATATCACACACCAGGAGGCAGGAGATAACACGTGTATTGTTGATGTTTTAGTACGTATAATACTAGTATATATATAGTTACTAGGTTGGATCGCGTGCCATGCACAGTAATTTTCAATAAATGTTATTAAAAATAACACTATTAATTTTTTTTTACTTTATATATATATATATATATATATTTACTTTCTTATGTTATATTTCAAATTTTATTGAAGTATTCATAATTTCATAGAGTATTAATTGATTGAATTTCTAATCATTAATTATTCAAGGAAATAACAAAAGTAACATTTGTTGTTTCAAAAAAAATGTATCATTTGTTGATTTGACATTCACATTTTATTTTTAAGCTTGTAGCTTTTATTACATAATTTTAAAAAAAATCAAGAAAATAATAAATACTTTTGTTGTAATAAACGTATATAGTACACAATATCTCTTTCCTAAAAAATTGTTCATATGTCACAAATTATGTTAAGATTTTTTTTTTAAAAAAAGTTATACTTCCTCCGTTTTTTAGGGTCTGTTTTCTTCAGCTTATTTTCAGTTCAGTTCAGCTCCAATAAGTTCAGTTCAGTTCAGTTCAATTTAGTTTAGTTCTAATCCTAATTTTCTTCTCTCATAAAATATTCAGTTCAGCTCCAATAAATTCAGTTCAGTTTCAGTTTAGTCAATCAGAACGAGCCTTTAGTTGACACCATTTGACTTTTATATTATTCACATAATATACTTTAACTCGCTTTTGTGATTGATAGATACGATAAAACATAATCATGTAAGATCTTGTTTAAATCGTCTATATGTATATTTTATTAAGATCCACTTTTTATAATTTTACAATGTTGATAATTGAAGTTATTAAGCGTTAAAAACATGCGTTGATAAATGTGATAATAGAAAGATGTCAATAAAAAAAAAACATAGGAAGTAGTTGTCAATTATTTTTTTTTGGAAAGTTGTATGTAATTATTACTTTTTTTTTGAGGGAAATGTAATTATTATTTATATCTTATATGTAGAGAGATTTAATTTGTTTCTTAAATATTTTTTTTTTTAAATAAAAAAAAACTAAAAACACATTAGAAATTGACACATACTTAGGGTCTATTCTCATCAACTGAATTGAGCTGAGTTGAACTGAACTGAAATGAATATTTTATAAGAGATGAAAATTAGGAGCTGAATTGAACTGAACTTAACTGAACTGAAAATAATCGTATGAGAACAAACCCTTATTGATTATTGAAGCCAAAATAGACCAAAATTATAATTTTTTTTAAAATCACCTCTATAAACATTACAAGTTTATCAGGCCAATAAAGTACAAACTTGTATTTTCTCAAATTTCACAACTGATAGAACATAAAAATGATTAGAGAACCAAACAGATCTCAGAGTCTAGCAAATGCAATGATTCTAATAGGGTTTTTTTTTTTTTTTTTTTTTTTTTTTTTTTTTTTTTTTTTTTTTTTTTTGAAACCCTGATTCTAATAGGTTATTTTATTCTGAAAAATTCATTGCAAACTAATGGTACATTTCGATCAACTATGCAGCCCTGCAAACGCCCCGTAACAGTTTTTAAACATAACTAGTAAGGTTCTACAAAGAAGAATTTAATCGATAAACAATTCTGCATTGATCATCTCCCGAATTCCCTTCGAGTCTGTATCAAATTTGGGTACTGCTTGTAAATGGCCACAGCCAATACATGTGCACATGGCAAAGATGTATGCTAGAGTTAAAGTACTAATTACCAATATAATCAACTCAAAAGAAATGCGATGAAAAAATTAATATGCAGTCATGTATCTCTGTATTTTTACAAAAATGTGATAACGCTAAGGGTCCACTCTCATAAGAATCAATTATCAAAGTATATTAAGAGCATAATTGGTTTAGGCAAATGAGAAGAAACAGAGAGGAATCTGATAAGATAGATTATTTTTACATCTTAATAGCCAAAAATGCACATAGCAGTAATAAATAGATAAGAAACTACAGAACCTCATTTTAATTCTCTGTGGTCTGTACTAAGTTCAATGCTCAATTTTTGCACGAAAAGTCAACTGATAAATGTTGCATTCAAGCAGCACCAAACAGAGAAAACTCCTAATGGTTATATAATCTTGCTAGGGAAAATGATTATATGAGGAACACAATGCTAGAGCTGAATATTTAAAAATAAATAGATAAATAAATAAATAAAAGAAGATATCCTTTAAACATACTTGAATTCATTGAACAACATAGCCAAAGCAAACCATTTTTCAAACATTTTAAAGAAGCTTAGCAACCACGGTCTCATGCCCAGTAACCTGGATTCTACAGAGTAATTCATATGAGGCCATGCCACATTAGCCAAATACAAATTACATCCCATGGTTTTATACTATTTTTATCGAGTCATATAGCCTCAATTTTCCGAGAGAAAACAAGAACTTATCCTCGAATTTTGAGAGCACACAAGAACTTATCCCCGATTTCCAAAAGCAAACAAGAGCTTATCCTCACTTTCAGAGAGCAAATAAGAACTCAGAAATTGGTGATAGCATATGAAAAACAATTTTTTTGCCAGAGCTACATGACACCAGCCTACTGGTTATAGCCTCAATTTCTCAAAAACGAAGAACGGGTATGCCTACCATGCTACAAGACTACAAGAGCTACATGACACCAGCTTTTTTCTGATAGCCTATCAACAACAATTTTTTGCATATTTCATCCAATTAATACCTGAATGTCTAAAGCTCAAATGTCAATCTAATTACATTTTTCAGCCTTCAAAATCATTTCAAGTCTCAATTTCTCAAAAAACGAAGAACGGGTATGCCTACCATGCTACAAGACTACAAGAGCTACATGACACCAGCTTTTTTCTGATAGCCTATCAACAACAATTTTTGGCATATTTCATCCAATTAATACCTGAATGTCTAAAGCTCAAATGTCAATCTAATTACATTTTTCAGCCTTCAAAATCATTTCAAGTTTCCATCTTTCCTTCACAAGATCCCAAAAAACATATCAAATTTTTGAGTTTTAACATCTTACCTAAAAAAAATGAGTAAACTCTTTTTTTTTTTTTTTTTTTTTTTTTTTTTGACAAAAGAGTTACTCCTTATTTTGACCCCCTCAATAGAAATTCCATAATTTGAATTTCAAATCTTAAATTGCAAAAAAAAAAAAAAAAAAAAAAAAGAATTCTTGGCAAAATTAGTAACAGCAACACGAAATTAATCTTGCCACAATGATTAGTATCATAATTAAAAGTTGTGAAGTAAAAACATCATAAATTTGTGTAGTATCTTGTTAAACCATGTACTTCAGCAAAGAACAGCTGGTTCAATTCTACTCAAATTTCACTGCTAGGTACATTCATACATCGTAATAGACCTTAAAGAAGCTCAAAAGAACTAGTAAGTCAAATGACACCATAAGCTACACACAAGTACAGTATGCATTGCACATTTGCACAATCACATAGAAGAGCACCAAAAAGCTGTAGATACCAGAAAATATTCACCACTTCAACTAGGTATTCATAAAAGTACTAAAAAAGATAGCCACCCTAAATGTCAAAAACTACTTGCAATAGCCTTCATGCGAAATCAGCTGCTTCTCATCCATTAACCATGAAAACAACCAAACGTATATACTTAAACGATGTGAAATCCCAACACTGCAGAAAGACGAACATATTAATATCAGAATGACATATCCATCCTAAAATTATCATGCACAATTGCATAAATAATCTACAAAGATTTAAACTTTCTTGCAAACTCAAGGCACCCTTAAACAAACAAACAACAATCCCTAAAGTAAAAGTGAGTAAATTAAAAGAAAAGAGAGGAAGTATCAATCAATAATTCGGTATCCAAGCTTTTAAAATGTACTCGTAGCACGTAAATTTACATACAAAAGAACACAAACATTGATATTGATACTCTCACAAACAAATCACATGTATTGATAGGAAACTTTCTTATTCTCAAAATACTGATTAACAAACCAATTGGACAGAGTAACCAACTATGCAATCTAATATTCTTTTGGAATGCTTTCCACTCCTAGCTTTACAATGAATATAAGTCCTATCCTATCCTTATCTTCCTTATCTTTTATTTTTTTTAATTATTTCTTTGGAGAATGAGGGGCTGGATTTTCCATCTAGTTTGATGGTTTGATACTTTACAAATCATGCATAAAGAGGTCTAAGATTGGTCTTTTATTTTTATTATTATTTATAAAGGTAATAAAGAATTTCTGTTCAGCCCACAGCAAGGCCAACATCAGTCCACCAGCTCAATTTGAATATTTTCGAAGTGAAGGTTATTGCACAAGAGCGCTGTAATTGTGTATTAGCCTAACCTTATGTCTCTACTGATGTAATTGTGTATTAGCCTAACCTTATGTCTCTACTGATGTTGAAACACTGGGCCCTTGGCAATTAAGGAGCAACTTCCCATCGTGACTTGTAAGCCATGACTATTGTAGCAGATGTACACTGGCAATTAAGGAGTCACAAATTGAATTTTGACAAATGGTTGGCAAGACCACAATCCTCTCAGACTATTAGAGGGAATTAAAAGAAATCAATGAGAATTACTATTTCAATAATAACAAAGGTGGCGAAAAACACACATGAATTCTAACACAAAGGATTCATCACGACACAATATTAGTTACATTAGAGTAATACACCACAAGTCAGAAACCCTCAAATTTGGTTCTGCAGACTTACAGAGAAGAAATAAATCCTAAATTATATCGGTCAATTCTATTCGACTTATATTGTTTGAATTAATTTTGTACTCATATTAATTAAGTGAAAGTAAGTCGAACTGAACAAGGCCTAACTGTCTAAGATTATATCCTACCTATACCAACTAGGATCATGAAACTAAAAAACCTTCCAAGAATATCCACCAGATTTTCTATGATGTAAATTATCTTTCCAAGTTTCCTGTATGAACCCCCTCAACAACAAAAAAAAAATAAAAAATAAAAAAAATCCTAGATTCGACCTTAATAACAATGGATGCCCTGATAGACAAATCCTATTACACATAAATAGGGCCAAAGTTTAGCTGAGCAATCTAACTTTCTCAGTGAATTTCAAATAGAAATGCTCTGTCCTAACAAGATAATCTATACATGAAAAGTTATGTGAATGAATTCAGGATTCCACAGTTCAAAGTAGGGCATCAATGATCTGTCTAATCTATATGCATCATGCAGGAAGTCACCCTAGCAATTAGAGAGAATAAACATGCAGAGCATCAAGAGGGAACAAGTGAAGGAGGCAGACCCAATCACGAGACAACGACGACTTCGATGCTTTCTCGCACCCCAAACTGCACTTCCTATCATTAACTTTTCTCATTAGAGCCATGATGTCCCCTACAACTAATGGCAAGCAAGGAAACACAAATGCCTAGGTTTCTGGGCATATAAGATCTGATCAATTTAAGTAGTGCTTAGTCAACTTATAGTGCAAGTGCAAATTGCAAAGAAACAGAAGCACAAATCTATACCTATATTTTAAATGTAGAAAAGCGTTAAGATTTTATGTAAATGAGCATAACATGTAGAAATTAAACATTCCCATACTTTTCCTATCCTATTCTCATCCCAAGTCTCCACTATTTCCCTGTGTTTTTTTTAAAGGGGAAGCTCATAAACATTAGCTAATTGCACTAATAGAAGAAGAATCAATGATACAGCTAATCGCATATAAAAGTGGAACCCTGACCTGCACCCTAGAATTTGTAAAGTATCATGCTCATATAGAAATCTCTTGGGTTAACAAATTTATCAAAGGCCAGCCAAAAGGGATATAGACAATTATTTAGATTTTTGAGCAAGCAAAAGTCCATGTAATCTCGTGCAGAATCCCAAATGACCACCTAGTTTGAAGGATCGATGATTACATAATGCATACCAAGGTCAAAGGTCTATGTTGGGTTCACTCTTTATAAACCTTCCACAGTATCTTTATTAATCAAATATGGATGAAAAATTCAGATGTATTGTTCAGTGTTCAGCCAACATCAGTGCAAGAAAAACACTACTATATTAATATGGATAGCTTCATACTTACATTAACAAAGTCCTGGCAGTGGCATCATCAATTATGTCATAGCCTCATCTTGCACATCATCCACAGTACGTCTGAAGAAATGAAGAAAGTGATTCAGACCTTTCATAGCTGATTTTACATACAACATGGTTCTTCAAAGATAATAACAAAGCTTAACATAATATAATGGATGCAAAATTGGTAGATAATAGACTATTTTAGAAGCAAGAGAAACCAAAAGAGGAAGTAAAAATGGAGTTGTAAAGAGCTTCTGAATATACTCCAGATAAAATTATCACAGAATCCAGATTGAAGCACCATTCAGGTAGTAGATTATGCAATACTTTGGTTTGACGAGAGCAATGTCAATAAACGCCTATACTTTATAGACTTCTGATGGAAATTTTAGCTAACTTAATACCATAAAGTAAGTAATTTACTACAGATTAGCAGTGACAATTAGCCAAGAGCAATAAGCATTAGTTACAAATCAATTGTAATTTACTAGATGGTTAGTAACTATTATCCCTGCAGATCAACCAAACAGGTCACAGAACACAATACAGAAAATGCATTTAAGCAAACAGGATTCAAAGTCATATGCTAAGAAAATATGTGCATTTGGATTTGGAAGCAATGAAAGAAAAGCAAGACATTCAAAAACTCTGCTTACTTCTTCTTCTTTATCATTGGCAAGGTTTCCCTTTGAGAACGCAGCTTATCTTCGATCGAAACAAGGCTGCCCACATAACACCCCACAAAACGCCCCATCATCATCAAATGATCCCTTGGCATTCCATGAAGTTTAAAGTTAATTGCATCAAATTTTTTGGACTCCAAATCATACCAACCAAAGATGAGGTCGCTTATGCCCAACAAAAATTTTTTCCCATCTTTGGAGTAAACAATAGGCAATACTAGCTGGCATCTCAGGATACACTTGTTGCCAATACTAAACAGTCTAACCCAAGACTCATTGTTTCCATACTCCTTCATTACCCATATATCGCATTTCCAAAAATCCACATACTCCCTTAATTCATCATGATAATTAACAAAAGCACACAGACATCGACCCAATTCCGTTAACTGCGCCGTCACATAAAACTCAGTATCATCAATCAATTTGGAGTAGTCGAAAAACAAGAAACTCTCAGTCTGAAGATCGAAACTAACTATTATGTAGTCAGATTTGTTGGAGCGAGCATTGAAATGTAAAGCCTCACTAACAAGAACACCATGGCGATGATAATCAGGGGTAAAATCATAGATACCTTGAACAGATTTCCAGGAATTATCATTGCAACTATACAATTCCGCTTCAACAAACTTACCCATATCATTTATAAGAAAACATTGAACTAACTTCAAAACCCTGTAATCGTCGTTCTTACTGTCGTACCCAAATCCGAACAGACGAACAACCCTGTTAAGATCTGGAATAATAGGTAGTTTAAACTGTGATTTGGTAAGTGGGTTGAACAACAAGATTTCAGTTTTGTTGCCAATGCAAACGATGCCATTGCAAGACCCAAATACCTCAATTCCTTGAGTTGAGAGAGGGAGCTGGATCCCCGAGAAGGAGATGTGGTTATGGTCCAAATCTGCAGAATAAAGAGACTTATAAAAGAAGAGGAGTTGAAGATTGGAGTTGGAAATTAGGGTTTGATTGAGGTGAAGTTTGATGAAATTGGGGGTTTTGATTATGGAATTCCAGAATTTGCAGACGCATTTGAAGCGTAAAAGTGATTTAACAGGTAAGCGTAAGAGTATTTCGGTGATCATCTCAGTCGGAAGTGCCGCCATTGTTGCCTTAGTTCGAGCTTCAGCTAATTGTGATGTTGAATTCTTGTTACTACAGGAAGGCAGGTTGTATTTTTTTTTTTTTTTTTTTTTTTTTTTTTTTGTCTTTCTGACAGTCACGTTTTGTGAAGCTTGTTGGGGAAGATTTGTTGTGCGGAAATCCACAATTTGAAGCCGACGTGGTTTATGGCCCTGTTTGGCACTTTGGCGGTAGCGTTTTAAGTAATGGTTAGCGTTAGGTGTGTACTGTGTCTAGTATGGTAAGTGTTTCATATAGCGGAAGTGGTGTGTCTAGTATGGTGGTGTTTCATATAGCGGTGTGTCTGGTATGGTAGCGTTCAGATAGCTTAGGTCAAACATTAAAAATATTAGCGTTTGAAAGGTAGTGTGTAGTTTTTGATAAATTTTGTTTACTCTTTACTCTGTAAATATTATGCATGTATTTGTATTGTATTTTAAATTTTCAACCGTTATTTTTGCCAAACACTAATACTATTACCCTCTATATTGACAGGCAACCTCTACCCACTACTAATTGACAGCTACTTGTTACTCTAACAACTACCCGCTACTTAACCGCTAAAAGGTACCTACCTGATATTGCTAGTTTTGCCAAACAGGACCCATGGGTGATTAAAGATTTTGGCGGGTTTTGAACACAAAACCGGTCGGCCCAACATTGTGGGCTTAATTTTGTATAGGTGATTAAGGTTTATTCTAATCTCACTAGAGGCATTTTGGGATGGAGATTCTCTCTTTCGCCTTTCACCCACTCCCAAAAGGCCAAATTTATTAATCTTGGTAATTGAAATATTAAATCAAAGGTGAGTGCAGTGCATATCATGTTATTGGGAATTTGAGATGAATTTTAATGTATTACTCGTATCATGTTATACTAAATAATTTTCTGTAGCTTGTAAGAATCGAAATGTTTGCAATAACTATGATTATGTTAAAGATAAAACACAATACATTTTCGTTATACAACTAACTAAAAATGAATACCTTCCAATATTCTATGCACTTAGCAAATTTTTTACATAAAACAAAATGTAATTGAAAATTACTGAAATTGAGAAAGAGCCTTCAACCCACTGATTAGTTTAGTTCGACTCCAAACATTTATAGTCATTTTTAACTAAATTTAATATTAAGGTGATCTTAGAAACTTAAAAATTGATCACAAATCCTAAGACGTTGAAGCTCAAATGCAAAGTTTCATTGGTTTTTTATATGCAAAGTTGAAGCTCAAGTGCGAGCTTTATAGTTGTTGATGCCAAATATGGGTAACCTTTTTTTTGCGGCTATTTCACCAAATGCCACTGAGCAATTTAAAAATTCACCAAATGCCATCGGACTTTTCAGAATTCACCAAATACCACCGACTTTTTAAAAAATTCACAGAGTGCCATTAATGACTAACGGCAGTTAACTCCGTTAGTCATTTAGGCTAATTATGCCACGTGGCATATTCTTATTGGTTCATTTTATTATTATTATTATATTTATCAAAAAATTAAAATAAAAAAACATAAAAAAAAAAACAAAAAAAAAACCTTAACCCTAGCTACTCCCACCGCACCACCGCCCCAACACCAGCCCAACCCCTTGCCCCCACCCCCACCGGCGACCAGACCAACATTCTCTTCAGTGTCCGCGGCGACCCTTCCCCTTGATCCTATGCCATCGCCACCCTCTCCTTCCCATAACCACCTTCCCCCCACCCTAAAACCCCTCCCTCCACTTTAAAAACACCATTCTTCCCTCCCACCGTCGTCCAGCCCCATCACCTATGCCGCCATGCCGGCGAAGCTAATTCGCCCATCCCCCTACAATCTCCATCAACTTTCCCCCCTTAAACCACCATCCTCGACACACTAAAACTCCAAAATTGAAATATCCAAAATCGAAACCCTAATTCGATTTTAAGGTTTTCAATTTTGGGGTTTAAGTGAGGTGGTATAGGGGGTGGAGATGGGAAGGGGAGGGGGGTGGTTTGGGTTCGTCGGAGCGGGGAGGGTTTATTGGTCACCAGCAGTGGGGAGTGGAGGGGGCTTTGGTCGTGCGGAGGTGGGGAGGGGGAGGGGAACTGAGGGATTTTCGATGGAGAAATAGAAGGTTGCGAATTGCGGGAAGGGTGGCTGGGTTGCGTCGTCAGCGCGGGCTGGCTCGCCGGTGTTGTTGTTCAGGGCTGGGTCGCCGCGGTGGGGATAGGATGGTGCACTATGGCAGTGACAGACGGTGGTTGGGGCTGGGTCATGGTGAGTGGGTTTTTTTTTTTAAGTTTTTTATTAAGTAATTAATTTACTAATTTAATAATCAACCAATCATAAGCCACCACGTGGCATAATTAGCCTAAATGACTAACGGAGTTAACTGCCGTTAGTCATTAATGGCACTCGGTGAATTTTTTAAAAACTCGGTGGCATTTGGTGAATTATGAAAAGTCCGATGGCATTTGGTGAATTTTTAAATTGCTCAGTGACATTTGATGAAATAGCCGTTTTTTTTTCTTTTTTGAAACACAATATGGGTAACCTTTAGTTTGAAACAATTTGCTTTCACCGCCATTACTCGAATCGAAGGTAAATCGAGGTTTGAAAGTCATGGCTAACTATGACCACAACTCCACAAGTGTCCTTTCATATGTTACCTTCATTACTTGTCTAGCTCAATGCTTGCTTTTTTTTTTTTTTTTTTTTTTAAACATTCTCATGGAGCTACATTTCTTTTTTTTTTTTGAAAACCATGGAGTTACATTTCTATTATTAGAGTATTATTATTAGACAAAAGTTTGATCTCATGTCTTGCATAATTCTAGTACTTTAAATAATTAGAATAAATGACATCCACTCTTCACTAAAAAAGATCGAAGTTGCATAAATTGGTACATGCGTACATCATCATAGAGAAAGTTTGATATGGCTTAAAAAGAAAGTGCATATTTTTAGGACCTGTTCTGATTGACTGAACTGAACTGAACTGAATTGAATATTTTATGAAAAGGGGATATTATGAACTAAACTAAACTAAAATTAATCTAAAGAGAACAGACCCTTAATCCATGCATAAAAATAGCTCATCACTTATTAGGTAAAAGAAAAGGAGGGAGGAGGGAAAAAAATGTGTGCAAGAGCACAAAAGGCAATGGATCGGACCAAAACTATCATATTAATAAAAACAATCAAATATGCCCTATAACTCACTGGCAACAATAATACAAAAGGGATTTAAAAGAAGAAGAAAATATTCAAAATCTGTAGTTTATAATACAACCTAAAATAATAAGCCTAAATTTGAAACAAACGTATAGAAAAATTTACAAAACAGCAGCATGCAGTCTATGCATAACTGTTAGCAAATCCATTGGTTCCATTAGCATGGTGACCATGTTTCTGTTGATCAGTCTTCTTCTTCTTGTACACGACGGTCCATGTAAATGCCTCCAATACAAGAGCAATGGCTCCCAAAGCAATGAGGATGCCTGAGTATATTCTCTTCCATTTCTTCTCTGGCATCAACACTTTGTCGAATCCTTGGTAGATGTTGATGATACTCAAGATGATCACGATGTATCCAATGCCGTGATGGTAGACCTTCCAGTACAATCTGTACTTGTGGTCTTTGTTTGGCCTTAGAAGTAGGGCAAATACCTGAAATTCAAAGAAATTGAAACTATGTCAAAACGATTTCTCTCCTACCCCAATTGTGTCACAAGTAGGTATATAGTTGTAATTTAACATTAAGTTGGCGAGTATCTTAGGTTTTACAAAAAAAAGTAACAAGAAAATCCTCTTTTCTATTAAAAGCTCTATGAACTCTATTCAAATTTCTTAAAAATATAGAAATAGTCATTTAACTGAGTCACAAAAAAATAAAGTCCAAACTTTTCAATAAGAGAGGCGGACAAAACATGGGGGATACACATATAGTAGTATAATCCTATACAATATATATAGACTATAAAAACGAGTTTTCTAGTACAGCGCAATATGAAGTTATGAGCACATTAGTCAACTAACACAAACAAATACTCCTATTGTTCATGGAAAATGTCTTATGGTATGAATGTGTGATTATAAAATGTTCGAGTTGAAATAAGTTCCATAATTCCACAACAAGAAGAAGCTTCCAAAGGTTTGAATATAAAAAAAAATAAAAATCAATTCTATCTTAGATTTTGAGCCAAGATACATACGAGTACTTAGAAAATGAAACAAATGAACATATCAACAAAAATTTGAAGTTAGAAAATGACTGTTAGGTAGACTTAGAATTCTTTGACGACTTTTAAAGTTGGTACTACTTTAAACAATATCAATATGATAATTTTTCAAGGGATTTGTTAAACATCGCCCGCAAATCTCCACATAAAGCCCACAAATTAGACATGGTTTGACAATTTTGCCCATTTCTAAAATCGTACCCAAAGTGAACAAATCTCGATCTAACAAATGTGGAGTCGTACTGGGTTGCCCAGGGAGGCCGGAGAGGCGAGGGTCGCCGGAGATACGTCGTCTTCGACGGAAAACGAGGTGGCGCCTAGTTTGGACGCCGGAACCATGGCAAGGACGTCCAGGCAAGGCGCCAAAACCAGTGCACTGGCGTCCAGGTCAGACGCCACAACCAGTGCACTGGCACTGGCGTCTGGTTTGGACGCCGCCCTTACTTTTTAATTTTTTTTTTTTTTTGCCTTTTTTTTTTATTTTTTTAAATTGTGTTTATTAAATTTATGTTTTGATTTAGGATGTGGAAATTTATGTTTTTTATTTGATTTTATAAAAAATATATATACTAGACTTATAAAAAATAACACATAAAATTAATAAATATTAAAAAAAAATCAAACACATTAAAAAAAAAATTAGAAAAATTTTCTGATTTTCCAAAAAAAAAAAAAAAAAAAAAATTAAGGCAGCTGGGGCGCTTGGCCAGGACGGCCCGTGGCTGGTGGTGGCGCCAGGTCCGGCAGCCACGTCCACCGGCCTGGCGTCTGGGCAGGACGCCCAGCCACAGTGACTGGCGCCTGTCCCAAACGCCACTCACCGTGGCTGGGCGTCCTGCCCAGACGCCAGGCCGGTGGACGTGGCTGCCGGACCTGGCGCCACCACCACCTTGCCGCCACGAGCCTCGACATCCCCGTACTTTGATTTTTATTGAGGTTGTGTTTTTTTTAAGGTCAAGGGCAATATTGTAACTTCAATATAAGTTTGTGGGCTTTATGTGGAGATTTGCGGGCGATGTTTAGCAATCCACTTTTTCAAACCCCTTTTTTTCCATTGTAGTGCCATTATTTTAACTTTGAAGGAAGTAACAAATTTATGCTTCGTAGTAATTTGATAAATTTTGCAAATAAAAATTATTAACCTAAATCTCATTGTCTTGTTATTTTAGAGTTTAAGACCAAAAATTATCAAACAGCTAAATGAGACATTTATTTAAAGAAGGATGAAGTATATCAATATATGCTACGTACATGAGAGTGAGGGATAGCTCAAGTGGTTAGAGTTTCTCTCCCGGTTTCAGGAGATCCTGGGATCGATTCTCATCCCCGCCCTTGTGGCAAAAAAAAAAATACTACGTACATACGAAGTATATATTCTATGGTAATTCTAGAATAAGGGTGTTAGGTGGTGATGTATTATCTAGACTAGATAATTGTTCCCGTATAATTTTTTATGCAAGTAGTAGTAATAAAAAATGGACCGGCATTAAAAGACATAAACTTACATTTAAACCAAAATTGACAATCTAAAAGCTAGACGTCAGAACTCAGAAGTAACTACAAACTCTACCTTGAAATTTTATGATTTATGGAACATACCGTGTTAGTTGAGTTACCTTACCTACCTGGCCCCATTAATGTGGCAGCTTAGTCAAAAAAGCTATGCATAATTCATCACTTTCCATGTAATTTATGTTACGTGTTCTTACATGAATTTTTTAATGTATCATGTTTATAGTCCATTACAAGTCTCTAGAAGATAGAAAGATAAAAATATTCAAAGTATATTGTGTTGATAAAACTGATTCTCTACACGCATGTTATAACTTGATAAGTAGATATTTCTATGAGACGATATTATATAATTTAACAATGTGTTAGTCATATACTCATATTAATATCATGTACGGTTGAGATAATGTGATAATCAATTCAAACAGAGATATATAAGAGAAGTGAGTTTAACCTGAAGAGTGGCGAGGCAGAAAAGGGCAATCCCAATGTTACGGTGGACGTGGTAAACAATACCAACAGATTGACTGCCAAGTTTAAGACCAGTACCCCAACCAGCAACTCCGATGATATAGGCCGAGATTTGGCAAGCTATATGAAGGTAGAACCATGCTGGATCGGCTGATGGGAACACCTTCACGTACCTTGCTATTATAGCTCCTAGTGGCATTAAAATTCCCCAACTAATTGCATTCAAAACTCCGTGTGTCTGCAATTAACACCCACAATTTAATTACGGTTATCCAATTTGCTATATATTAGTATACACACTCTCAAATAACATGACAACAATTCAAAAATAAAAACAAAATATACGGCTAATTTAGTATCAACTACCGATGGCTAATTAGATGTCTATTTGACCTTTGTTGACTACATTTATAAATCTTTGACCACGTGGAATACATAAAATTTGAGGAAATTATAAAGTAAACATGTGAATCTATAATATTAGTTAGAAAATAAAAAATGAAAACATGAACATATTGACTAAAAAAAAGTCTTAAGAATTAAATAACCGCAAAAAAAAAAGTTAAGATGTTCAAGTGTCAAGTTTTTCGAAAGAAATGATTTCTAAATTTTCACATCAACATCATGCTTATTGGTGGTGGGTGAACAATAACATTCTTTTCTTTGTCTAGTTCAAAACGTTGATAGAATGATTTTTTCAATATCTAAGCGTCTGATGTTTCGACAACGAAACTTCTTACATATATTCGGGTGCATTTAAGTTTTATCAAAAGATACAAATTATATGAAGAATATATGATAATCTTTGCTCTAAATGCACCTAGATGCATAAAAGAATTATCAAATAAGGGAAAAATATAATCGATGCACCTAATTCTAAGCGCATCTATAATACAACATAATAGGATTTAAACGCGGAAAAAAAAATAAAAAATAAAAAAAAAAGATTGAAAAAAAAGCATGTCGTTGTTGACACGAAAATAGCTCACCAACCAAAAGATCCAATAATTATTTTTCCATGTTAGTACGAGGCAGTGGTTACACTTGCACACATGTTAGCCTCAAATTTGTTCGCTTAATTATAATCAGTTCATCATGATCAAATACTACCAAACACATGTGCTAAGGTTACAACTCACAAAGTAGGCATTATTACTTTAATCTCTTTTATTAGAGCTAAATAAGTTTTAATAATCTATTTCAGTTAATTGTATATCGATGATGGAAGAAGACAAAGAACTATTATATTGATAGTGTAATGCCTAATCCATTAAATTAAATTTTTGATAGTAACATTCAAAATGGCTAAAACTTCTTATATTTTGAAACCAAATGAGTAATAAAATACTTAATTAATGTGCTT